ACAGCATCTTTTTGTAGACACCCTGACTGGATTTAAAAGCTTCAAGTGTCAAAGCATATTCCAGGGCAAGCAATAACAGTGGTTAATTATTCAGATTGTTAAAAATGTGTGTCTTGTTTTCAGTTTGAATTTTGCTGAGTTCAGCTTCCAAGCTCTGGATCTTTGAATGTGAAATGTGAAACTTCTTGTTGTTGATTGCCTATATAGCTTGTCTGCACAAGGAAAGGAAAGGATTCTCTGCAAGTGGTGAATAGGGTGGACAGAAGGGTGTTAGTATTCCTTCTCTGCTCTTCCTACCTCATTTGGAAAATCAGCATACCCTTAAGAGAAAGTCAGTGTAATTCTTTTAGCATTACTTCATACAAGTTTTGCTATATGGTCTTCATAGAATGTGAGTATTACAAATGAAAGATATGCAAAATATTCAGAACTTCAGAGTAAAAGGCTGGTGACTGTCCCTAGTATGTCAGCAGTTTCTTCTTCCTCAGTGTTGTGCTAATATTTATTTCATTGGCCTCCCTGATTAACTTTATCCGTTGTCTCTGCACTGTCTCCCCAACAATCTTTTGATAATTGCCAAGGCTTAGCAGTTTCTGAACTGATATTGTACAGCTTGTCTGGGAAATCTCAATGCAGATGGAAGCTGGCTGCTATGTGTGTTACTGTTGGCAGTGACTATATATTTAGAGCAGTATTAGTAATTTATTTTTTTTAGTAGGAAAAAAAGATACTTGCTAAGCTCATCTCTGTTTGTGAGTGACATAGAGTTTACCCTAATTTATTTAGGTAGATAGTTCAAAGGCAGTATCCAAAGAAAGCTTGAAGTCATTCAAAGTACACATGCTGATGGGGAGAAATTGGTGACCACTTAAAATAATACAGTTTAAAATTAAAATCTCCAGAATACTTTGGAAAGTGCTTCTGGGCACTGTGAGAGTATATGCAGGGAATGCTGTGAAATGGTTCCCTCCTGGGAAAGAATCACTAGCAAATGTCATAGCAGAGTCTTATCCATCCCTCCCTAACACTGCCCACCATGGTCTACAATAGAGTTAAGATGAGGGGAAAAAGAAGAAGGGAGGGAGGAGTGAAGGGAAGGTCGGAACAGTAGTTCTAACTGGACATTACAAAGGTTCTTCTAGGAGAAAGAGAATGTGTATGGTACTGCAAGGTGCAATCTACATCCTTTTCTGAAATATTGTTCCGGTGCTTCTGAAATGAGAGGAGGAAAAAAAATACAAACTAAAAAGAGATAAAAGAGGAAGGGAAAACAAAGGAGGAAAATTTTGAGGACACAGAAATGGAATGAGGTGAACCAATCATTCCCCACTGCATATTCTCCATCTAAACCCATGAATATGCAAGTTAGTATCTGAACAAACATTATCACTGACACAGATTCCCTTCCACAGTATATTTGTGTTGCCATGCATATGAATAATTGCATTAGTAAGGCAGAAGGTCTGGTTCCCATATTTTACACGCATCTATATTTTATCTGTGGCCATGCTTTGCACCCTAATTATATGGTATTGGAAGCATCCATTTGTCCTGTTTCTTTCCAGTGAAAACCACTTTTTTTTTCCAACTGACCTCACGGCTAAAAGAAATAGGAGTAAGAATAAAAAGTGACAGCTCAAGTGAAGTCTGGACACGACAGAGGCAAAAGGAAAGCATTTTAGTGAAGTGATGGAGATCAGGTCATCTCCCATCTGCTGTACCATACTTAATTATACATCTGCATAGCAGCAATCACTTTCCTCTGTCTCATCTCCTGCCCCTTTCTCTTCATGTAAGCTTCATTGCTAAAATAGGTGGATACATAGATGAAATGACGTGACACTCTTATCCCAGCTGGGGGGAACATGACACAAGCGCATGCTAGCACTCTCTGTGACTTTTGTGTTTGGCACCAGTCACAGTGTCAGGGCTCCTCCCAGCCTTCAAGTATCCAGGGACTGATGTATTGTAATGGCATCCAGATCCTCCACTGGTATAGTTGTCATCAGCCTTCTGACAGCAGATATATTTAAGTGCAAAACTCCTGAGAATCTGGCAGAGCATGCGTATCCTGGGCTACTCAGTTTTGGGAGTCTCACCGATCCCACTCTGAGGTCAGGACAAGCACTTGTTAATTTTTAACTCACAGCAAATGTATTCTTGCAGATATTAGATTAATTCACTACTGAGCAAAAGGCCAGCACTGTAGTACTTAAATGTCATTTATGCCTTATCTGAAGATTTTAATGGGACTTATTTGGTATATGATCTTGGCCTGGCCTTGGCACGAGGGCTATTTTCACCCGAAATGAACTACTGAGGGGCTGACAACATCCTTTGGAAGACAACCAGCAAGAAGTCATTACTCTTGGGATAGCTGTGAACTCTAGGAGAGTTAGAGAAATATTTCCTTCTTAGGCAGAAAGCAGTGTCATATAAAGAAACAAACACAAGCCCTGGGCTTATTGGCAAACTACAAAAGCAAGAGTAACTGTAAAATGTTTACTTACACTCAATAAGCAACATCTTCATAGTTCTGAATAATGTTAATGTCTGCTCCTTTTTTATAGTTTAAATTATTTTCACAAACCATAAAGTCAAGATGACAAAATTGTCTATCCTGTAGAGCATATCTATTTATAGAATGGATGTGTCCCGTACTAAGAAGAATCATAGAATCATTTAGGTTGTAGAAAGATCATCTAGTCCAACCGTTAACCCAGCACCACCAAGACCACCACTAAACCATGTCCCACATCTACACATCTTCTAAATACCTCCAGGGATGGTGATTCAACCACTTCCTTGGGCAGACTGTTCCAATGCTTGACAACCCTTTCAGTGAAGAAATTTTTCCTAAGATCCAATTTAAACCTGCCCTGTTGATATTTGAGTCCATTTCCTCTTGTCCTATCACTTGTTACAGGGGAGAAGAGACTGACCCCACCCGGCTACAACCTCCTTTCAGGTAGCTGTAGAGAGTGACGAGTCTCCTTTCCTTCAGACTAAACAACCCCAGCTCCCTCAGATGCTCCTTATGGGACTTAATCTCCAGACCCTTTACCAGCTCCATTGCCCTTTTCTGGACACGCTCCAGCACCTCAATGTCTTTCTTGTAGTAGGGGCCGAGAAATGGACACAGTACTTGAGGCCTCACCAGTGCCGAGTACAAGGGGATGATCACTGCCCTGGTCCTGCTGGCTGCGCTGTTCCTGATACAGGCAGGATGCCATTGGCCTTCTTGGCCACCTGGGCACACTGCTGGTTCATGTTCAGCTGCTGTCAACCAGCACCCCAGGTCCTTTTCTGATGGGCTGCTTTCCAGCCATTCTGCTCCCAGTCTGTATCTCTGCATGGGGTGGTTGTGACCCAAGAGCAGGACCCAGCACTTCACCTTGTTGAACCTCATACAACTGGCTTCAGACCATCAATCCAACCTGTGCAGATCCCTCTGTAGAGCCTTCCTACCATCCTACAGTCCCACCCAGCTTGGAGTCATCTGCAAACAGACTTGAGGGGGCACTCGATTCCCCTGTTCAGATAATTGATAAAGGTATTAAACAAGACTGGCCCCAATATGGAGACCTGGGGAACACCACTTGTGACTGGCTGCCAACCGGATTTAATTCCATTCACCACCATTCTCTGGGCCCAGCCATCCAGCCAATCTTCTACCCAGCACAGAGTGCACCTGTCCAAGCCATGGGCTGCCAGCTTCTCCGGGAGAATGCAGTGGGAGGTATTCAAAGGCTTTGCTAAAGTCTAGGCAGACATCATCCACAGCCTTTCTCTCATTCACTAAGTGGGTCACCTTGTCATAGAAGGAGATCAGGTTGCTCAAGCAGAACCAACCTTTCACGAACCCCTGTTGACTGAGCCTGATCTTCTGGTTGTCCCCTGGTTGTGCTGTATATGCTGTGTGATGGCACTCAGGACGATCTGCTTCATGACCTTCCCCAGCACTGAAGTCAGGCTGACAGACCTGTAGTTCCCTGTATCCTCCTTCTGACCCTTCTTGTAGATGGGCATCACATATGATAACTTAAAGTCAGCTAGGACCTCCCCAGTTAACCAGGACAGCTGGTAAATGACTGAAAGTGGCTCCATGAGCTTTTCCCCCAGCTCCCTGATTACTCTTGGATGGATTCCATCTGGCCCCACAGACTTGTGCATGTCTAAGTGGTGTAGCTGGTCACTGACCATTTCCCATTGGATTATTAGGCCTTCATTCTGCTCCCTTTTCCTATCTTCCAGCTCAGGGCTGGGTACCCACAGAACAACTGGTCTTACTATTAAAGACTGTGGCAGAGAAGGCATTAAGTACCTCATGACTACCTCTCAAGGGTCAGACAGGATCCTAAACAGGCCGAAGTCTGCCCTGGGAAGTTCAAGGAAGCAGTTCTACTGACTCCCCTCTTTACTTCTCTGAGAATCAAAATCTCAATCATTTCATGATAGCTCTGCCCAAGGTGGCCTCCAACCATCACATCACCAGTGGGACACCTTCCCTAGTGTGTTCCCCCACCAGGGGGAACAATTGTGATCACTGTGTCAGGAAGTTGCCCTCCATACGCTCCAGAAGCCTCTAAGACTGATTCCCCTCTGCAGTGTTGTATTTCTAGCAGACATCTGGTAAACTGAAGTCCCCTATGAGAACCAGGGCTAGTGATTAGCAGACTTCACCCAGCTGCTTATAGAATATTTCATCTGCCTCTTAATCCTGGTTGGGTGGTCTGTAACAGACTCACACCATGATACCTGCCTTGTTGGCTTTCCCCTGATACTTGCCCATAAACACTCAACCCTAACGTCTCTATCATTAAGCTCTAGGCAATCAAACCACTCCCTAACATACAGGGCTACCCCACCACCTCTCCTTCTTGCCTATCCCTTCTGAAGAGTTTACAGGCAACACTCCAGTGGTGCGAATCATCCCACCCTGTTGTCATGATGGCATTTACGTCATAGATTCACCACAGCTTCTACCTCCTCCTGTTAATTGCCTGTGTTGTGTGCATTGGTGTAGATGCACTTCAGATGGGCTATTGATCCCGCCACCTTTTTGAGGGGTGATACCTTAATTCCTACATGACCGTTCTCAGGTACTCCCACCATTTCTAACTCACCAATAACCCTTGCATCTTTGCTGCCTTTAAAAGGAAAATTTATTATCTGAGTGTTTTTTAACTGTGTTCTCCAGTCCTGTGCACTTGATTGTCATAATCTAGAGCCATACCAGTCTCTGGGTAGCAGGTTTTTAGCAATTCAGAAGATTTATGTGTCTGTTGCTGAGCTGAATGCCATTCTTTGAGTAAGCACTGAAACTTTCTTTTGAGAAGTGAGGGAGGAGGAGGAAAGATTAAAGTAGATCATGTGCTTCTTACATAAAATTTGAGGAGCTGATGAAAAGCAATTTGATTAAAATATGATTGAAAGGATGTTATGTGGCATGCCTGAGACTGATTTTTTTGCATGACAGAGGTGTATGGGGGAGGAGAGGAAAGTTTGGTTGTTGATATTTCTGTTGGTTTTTTAAGGATATTAATACCTAATCTTGCAAGCTGCCCTGCAGGCAAGCCTTGTGAGACTGACTGGTAGGGTACTGCTACAGTGACAGAGTCCCTTTGCAGCAGTTGGTTAAGACCGCACTGAATTTGCATCCTTGGTTGAGAATGCTTGTAGTCAATTAGAAACCTGGTTCTCCCTTACATTAGGGCTGCTCTACATCACCCTGGGAATATAAAATGTATTTTAAGTGAATGTAAGTGTAACTTATAACCCTTATAAAGCAGCTTTGCATCTTACAGCAGTTTAAAGCTTTGGGGTAAGTGAGAATCTGGATTTCCAATGTATAAATTATGGTCAGTCTGACTGAAAATTAATTGAAGATTTTTATATTTCGTAATGTTATCACTAAGCTAACTTGAATAAGTTATTTACATCTAATTCAATATTGGAATTGTATTCATTAGAGCTCCTTAAACTGTATGTTAATATCCAGGTTTCAGTGTTTTGCTTTGTAAATATTTGGGATTTTTACAAACATACATTCAGAGATCATGTTGTTCTGTCCTTTTTTTCCATTCCAAAGTTCCTAGGAAAAGACATAGCACAGGAGGTCAGTATGGAAAACACTTTCTTTCCATTGTTTCTTTTCATATTCACTATGCTTCTTTAAATAATACATCACAAGACACTTTATATTTTGAGTGGTTTTGGCAACTAAATTAAAGTTTTCAGTGTTTGTTCCTTGAATATCAACTTATTGTGATTAATTATCTCACTCTTAGCACCAGTTATGGTCTGTTACCACTGAGCCCTCAGCTGGCATTGATGGCACTTGAATAAATCATTTACTCCAGGATGTGTTCCATGTATGTTACTTTTAAAGTGGCAGGGATTTAATCTATACTGTTTTCTGACCATAAAGGCAGCAAAAAAAAAATAAAAAAATCATGGTATCTTTATGAAAACAAATAAGACTTACTCTTGCAAAAGCAATTACACACATTCCTCTTTGTTCCTGTGTCTCTGTCAACAGCATTGCTCCCGAAAAAGGAGGCAGAAAAGCATCCTGGGTATTAAACATACTGAGTATCATGTCTTCAGGATCTCTTCAGCTGCTTTTGCCACTAGTAGTTTTTCATAACACACCAGAGTTAAGTTAGCTTTATATTAGCTACTTATAATACAAAATGAACATGTATCTTGTTATTTTGCTGTTCCCATTTCTTTCAAATATTGTTCCTTTCTCTCAACAGGCATTTGTCTGTCATGATTGATGTTTGTCATGATGTACTGCACAAACATCTTTAAAAACAGTGAGCTTTCTTTCTATTCCTTTCTTAATTTATATTTTCTAGAAGATTTTAATATTCACTGGGATAACATCTTAAAGCCCTTTGCAAAATATGTATTCTGTAGTCTCCCACTAAAAGCAATGTCTAATTAACAACCAAAGTCTGCAGAATGAACTCTCTGGGAGCAAATGACTAATTCTTGATAGGAGGACTGTGGTTTTATGTTGTTGCCAGCATCTTGAGAACAGTTCTATGCTGGAAGCTGCTCCCAAGGGTCCTGTGCAGGGCTAAGGGTTGGACTCGACGATCCTTGTGCGTCCCTTCCAATACAGCATATTCTGTGATTCTTTCAGTTTCACGAAATACTGGCATAGGCAGAGCAGAGGAGGTAGCTGCTCCTCGTCACTCCGCAGAGGCGCGGGGACGTGCACACCAGTAGGGGGAGATGAGGGGATGTCTTTCCACTTCTGGGAATCTTGGCACTGTTGCCTGCCTTCAGATACATCTATTTCTTCTATAGTAAGGCATTTTCACTGCACAAACTTGCAGTGCTTAATTAAAGCTATAATTTTAAACACACTTAGGCAAATCAGTGCAGTGTTCTACTGGATACTTAAGTTGAGTTAAACTTGTTGCTTGCACCAGAAAATTTTATAGAGACAAGCTATTCCTGCAGATCGAGTTTTAAGTCGATGCACATTTAACCACACTGTTGGGCTCTGCCTGGGCTACTGGCCCTGCAGCTGGATGCAATAGGGCAACTGGGACTGTGGCCCAGCTGTGCAGGAGCTAAAGCTTGGCCAATTTCCTCTAATAGCAGATGTGTCAGGCAACTCCACCAGTTGCTCTTGGCAGTCTGCAGTGCCATTTGGCTGTAGTTTTGCTTCTGACTCTCTTGCCTTTCATTCTTGTTTGCTTAGTCTTGATTCCTGGTTCCTGCTCCCTTTGTGTTATGCTCCTATACCTCACCTTGTCCCAGCCCTGACTTGACTTATAACAAGGACTCTTTGGTTTTCAAACTTCTGGCTCTATGACTTTCTGACTATCCTTTTCCGTTTGGGATGATTCCTTCCATCTCTGCTGTCTTGATTTATTCTTATGCTGGCTTCACTCTCTTTGTATCCAAACTTAATTCTAACCTGGTCTTCACCTTTAGACTTACTGGAGTAGTCTGATGAAAGTATGTGCCTCTTAAGAAATCTGAAACTGCAGTGGAAGAAACTTGATTAGCTTGCTTCTCAGCAGTATTGAAATGGGGACAGATGTGGAAGTCCCTTGTAAGATTCCTCTTGAATCTGCATGCTGTCAGGGATTACAAGCATGACTTGTGGATCACTTTTGCACCAGAGGCTTAATCTGAATGCAAATATTCATTTGCAACCTTAGATGACCACAGTTATGCTTCTTTGGTATTGAAACCTGTTGTAAGCAGGCCAGTTTTGGCAGGGGGTATAACCATTTCCAGGGCTCAAGGTTATTTTCTCTCACTTGTGTTCTTTTCTTCTACTATTTGTTGACTTTTCAAATATCAGTCAAGCTCCGTATAACTGTTCATGGCACCAGTTGTTACTGTTTTCCATGTTGATTCAGCATCTCAGAGTTTTAGCTAACCTGCTTTCCATCTCCTGTATTACGGATGCCATTGCTTGCATTTTATTGCAACACAATTCATTTTGGTATCACCACTTCCATGACTCTCTGCAGAATTATCTATTTTGCTTTGCTTTCTGAACAAGGCACAGTATCGTTAACAGTGTGTATAAATTCTGGTGAAAGCTTCAGAACCAAACCCAGAACCTGTATAATTAGCCAAACCAAAAGCCCAACAGCTGTATGCTGGTGGAACACATGTGAAGCTCCAAAGAGGCTGATGATGCAACAGGCTAAGTGCCTGCAATGGACACATGAAGACCACATGTGAGGAAAGGAGAGGATACATTTAGTGATGGATTATATGTCTGTGTTTTGCCATCTGAACTTTATGTCTCTTTACAAACATAGCCAGAAAACACATGGATAATACAAAGAATTGTTACTTGCTCCAGGCCCTTTATCTATCTCCCTCTTGTGTACTGAGGCAGAATAAGAGTGAGAAACCATTTGTCAAAAAAATCCTCAGTCAGAGCCCATTGATAGTGATCTAAATTGCTATATGGTCCTTTCTATAGGCTCTCTACAATGGGGTGAATTTCCTCTCTTGGATAAGATGGAACCAAATGACATGTGGAGTACTGATAAATTATACTGGCTTTCCAAGGCTAGTATACAGCTCTTGGTATCAAATTTATTTTAGTCAAATGTAGACGAGTCTAGTTCTTTTGAAAATTTTATGTGCTTGTAGTCTGTGTTGTGACTGTGAGTTGTAACAGGACATTGATTCCACTCTGGAGCATCTCCCAAAAACACACTGTCAACATAGACTAGTACATAGTGGTTTTAATCTTGTAGACAACTATGTTATAGAGAATATGGCCTAGGCAATAGACCCAGACACACGGATGTCGAGAATCCCCAGTAATTTTTACATTGAGGGGAAGTAAACTGAAACAACTACAAAGTTCTCTTAAAAGAAAAATCAGGAAAATCATCTGTTAAGGCAGCACCATTATCCAGACTAACCTCCCTGCACATATTTTCCATCCAGCCATCACAGTACTCCGTAATTCCCCCTTACTTCCAAGATACTGTCAAACTTACATTTATTACATGTGAAGCCACAACTTCCAGAGGCTAAAACTAATGCATGAAGAACAGATCCCTGTAGCTAGAACAGTTTTTCTCTAATAATAATGATTAAAATTTTAAACACTATCTCTTACAATCAATACTTTAAAATACTATCTTAATTCGTTAAGTCAGTGTGCAAAAGCATGATTACATTTCTAGACAATAATCTTCACCTTGCTGCTGAAATAGAGTCAAGACAACTTGATTGCTAATTTTTCATGGGACTTACAGCAGTTTGGAATCCATTAGTCTGCATGTCTTTATGAAAGTCTGGCTTAAAATTATTGGCTTCTCATTGTATGGGCATTTATTCCTTCTTCCACTTCAGCTGGATGCTGCTGCTTTCCAGAGCTGCTTAAAAGAATTGTCATGTCTCAGCTAAAATGGAAAAGAATTGCTCATCTGAGGCAAAGAGGTGGGTACTGACTTATTCCAGACTTGAAAAAAATTTTTTCTCCCCCAGCTCTCACAGAGCTTGTCTTCAAAATCGGTAATCAGAAGTGACTGCTCTTCAGGAGATCAGAGCTTCCAGTGTATCATGCTGGGCTTCTATTCTACCAGAGGATGAAATGACTAACGATGCTACTAGGAATTAGTGATGCAAGAGGTCATGCGTGTTAGAATTTTCGCAGAATCCACTGACTGTGTTCTTTTCATTCAAAGATATGATCTCCATGGTCTCCTCCCACTATTAAATGAGAAAAAGGAATCTAATAGGACTCAGATCCCATGAAAAAGAAATCCCTCCATGATACAGGAGTGTGGGAAAAGATGAAGGACCACTTGTGTAGTTAGATTTAAAGGACAGATTTAAGTCATAAGGAATGGTTATACTACTGTTACTACTAACAGACTTCTGAAACACAGAATATTTCTAGTGTGTTACCATTAACAGAGAACAAAGACAGTCTTTAGTAATTTCTTCCTCTCTTCCTTTCCCTTCCTCATAACAAGGATAAGGATTTTGCTCCTGAAACAAGTCATGGGGTAAAGACTGCACCACACCATGACAGAGTAGTCATGAGGTCTTATAACTGATCTGAATCTTGGCTGTGTCATACCTTGAAGAAGTGGCATGATACAAGGTATTTAGCAGTGGTAGTGACCTTTGTCTTATGAAAGCTTACCTGAAAACTCCTAAAGAAGAAATGACCTGAAATGGGGGTTCTACCTTGGAAAGGAAGACTAAATGCATTCAATGGATGAATAATCAAGACCCTCCACAAGATAAAGTGAAAGAACTTTACCTAGCCTAGATGGCATATTATAACTGAAAACTAGAAGCAAAGGAAAACTGTTAAAAAAAAAAAAAGTCCTATATAGCTTTCAGAATTAATACAGACATGCTGGAGTTATGAGACTGGATGTCCTTATATAAGAAGCAACAATGACAACACTTTCTTGTTAAAAAATCAAAGCTGAAGTCTTGTTCTCTGACTAATGGGGGAGCAAGTGTAAACTGGAGAGACCCAATCTCTCTTACTGCAGCCTATCAAGCCGAATCCAGATGACTCACGCAAACAGCCTGCAGTCACAGAAGAATGGATCCAAACTGGTTGTCCATGTCTCATGAAGCTGTGGCCCACAAGGTGTAGGCAATACTGGACATACTGCATTCCTAACATTGCTTCTCCTTCTGTGTCCAAGCATCGAGTGCCGCTAAGCAGCACTTCCCAGCAGTGGGGATGAAGATGGAGGTTTTTCTTCTCTCCGCATTCTTCTGTGCACTTGGTGCTTCAAGAAGTATGCCTAACATATGGGGAGGTTTCTGCATACTTGTCATGGGCTTCAGGGTTTTTCTGGGTATACATAAAATACCCTTGTTTGAGCACTAGCTCTGTTTCATATTCCTGTGTTACCACTGAGATAGGAATCTCAGTGGCAACTTTATTACCCAGCTAGTTTGTGCTCCTGGGATGATAAGAGGATGGTCACAGCACAAGGAGCTCACCATGGTTGTTGGAACACACTGAGAACTCATGCTGTTGTACTGAGTATCAGTCACACACAGTGTCTTCCCATGTACAGTGAAAATACCACAGACAGCCAACAAAATGTCCCCTAAAAATGTCAGGCAAATCAAAGCAGAGAATATGTGTCATAACTGCCATCTTATTTTCTTTGTGGCTTTCTGAAGCAATAGTATCTGCAAAGCAAGCAACTTGTACATCAGCCTGGAGGAAAATGGGAAGGCGGTTTAGGTGTCTGTTGATTCTTGGCTCACATACACAGAAGTTATTCAACAACAAATCTGTAAACATCCCTCTTCAAGAATAGGTGTGCCCTATTTTCGTCTTTAATTAAAACTCACAGTGTTATACTAAACCGGAACAGCTTAGCCTTATTCTGGAAATTAGTCATGAAATTAGTCAGGAATAGCTCCTCCTGAACAACTACATGTATAAACAAGCCCTAAACAATATTTATGTTGTCTGGAACCATGGGGGACACTGTCACAGATGCAAATTACTTTCCAATCCTATAAGAAGAAAGATGAAGAGTTGTTGTCTTCCAACCGGGGGCGGCGAACATTTCTCACCCATGTTTGACCATTGTGTTTGCCCTTGCAGGACAATTTAAGGAGGCGGTGGTGGCGGACGGGCCCCAGCAGAAAGGCCGAGCTCTGCCCCGTTCGCCGAGCTGGCCTGCGCCAGGTGCGCCGGGCGAGATACCGAGCTGGGGGAGATGGGTGCGCTTCTCCTCCATCCGAGCCTCTTCCCCGGGGGATACATCAGCAACCCCTCGGCTGAAGGATGTTATCTAAGAAAGATTCCTCTCCGTCGCAGGCCAGCCCTGGCTGCGCGCGTGCCTGTACCTGCGTGACAGCGCTCCGGGGACGCCCCACCCCGGGGCGGGCACCCTCCGGGGGCAGGTGGGACCCGCGCGGGGCGGGGGGGCCCTGCCCTCAGGCGCGGCCCCGGGCGCGGTTCCCCGGGGAGCGGCCGCCGCCGCCGACAAGAGGCGCCCCCCTCCCAGCCCCCGCGGGCACGCGCGTGCGGCCCCGCTCCCCGCGGGATGCGCGGTCCCGCCGCTGGGTT